GTGTTTGGCTAGCCCGTGTTTTCCATGAAGGCATTGAGTCTCAATCTGAAGATATCAAGAGCCAAGGAATCAGCCGCAGCCCTTAACTTTATTTATTTATTATTTATTGTCAGTGGTACTGAATTAGATACTAAAGACTACACTACTTTAGTTTGCTTGATTCCAGCTACTGGGCATTATTCCTTCTTATTTCACTCTTTGGTAGGTTTAAGTGGCCCTTATATTCAATATTTTTTCCTGTGCCTATATGTATACACTGTTATCAACTCATCCTTTCAATCTTTTTGATCCATTATATAGGTTTTTAGTTCTTCAATTACATGGCATTTTCTCTGACTTCAGATCGTTCTGTAGCTCTTCTCTATACTTACTTCATTTTTTCCATATCCATCTTGCAATGTGAGCATCAGAACTGTGCACACCATGCCTTAATCACCCTGGGCAATTTGCACATGCACGTAAAAGTTGCCACCATTAACATCTGCACTCTATAAGTCAAGGTTTGCATGAACCCTTTTTGCTACAGCAAACACATCAGCTGACTCATCAGTCCTTTTCAAACTTTTCCATGTGTAGGAGAGTCTCCATTTCTTATTCTTAGGTCTATGTCTTCTGTTGATTTTATTAAAACATAATTTGTTTGAGTAAGACCCAGTTTATGAAAGATCAAGAATTCCTCTGCATCTTTGCCCAAGGTAATTTTTATATCTATTTTAACTCCCTATAATTGGCTGTAGAGGCTGCTATATTCCGGTATATTTTCTGATACCACCATAATTCTTGACATTTCAGATATAACTGTTCAGAAAATACTGGCAGAGACAGTCACTGTCACATCCAAGTGCATTATTCTAGGGCTGCATAGCATTGGGAAGTACTCATTTGCATGTGAGACCAAAGCTGGCAATCTCAGCTTTCCTGTAAAATAGTTAAGGTATGGAAATGGAAAATGAAAAACAGAAGAAGGTACTTTAGTCCCTTGATTTTCAAATCAATCTCTTCATGTTAGTGCAAGACTCATGAGTCCTGAATGATTGAATTTGACAGTATTCCTAAAGGGCACAACAGCATGAAGAGATTTGTTTCAACCTGGTGCTCAAGAGAGCAAAATTTTGCCATAGACTCATATTGCCTAACAAAAAGAGGAATAAAAAGTTGTAAAGCATGTGGCATTTAGGCTAATGAAGACTGAATAATACATTTAACAGTCTATATGATCATTAAAATTGAATTTTGTGTCTATATATATTTTTTTGTTTTTAATACTGCCAGGGCAATAACCACCTTGATTTGCTCATTTCTAAGTAGTTTCTAATTACTAAGTCTCTAATTTATGAGCAGATGTTCTTTGTAGCAGGGGGATATAAGGATCTCCTACCTCTATCTGTGCTGGATGCATTCATCAATTATCTTCCTAAATCTTGCTTACCTTTTTTCAAGGCTGGAGGACAGTACAAACACAGGGAGACTTCTAGTTTAATTGACCTAGGAAGAGGTTAATATATGTGCTGTAGTGTCAGCATGGATTCTTTTAGGTCTGTCAGCAGCAGATACAAAAAGTTTGATTCAGCTGCCGATTCTGGCACCAATGGATGCAACTGCACAGCAATGTTTGGATCCTTTCTTGGCAAGCTCCCAGAGATGGGCTTTGGCAATTTGCTTGTCAGCTGTAAGGAATGTTCTGCATGGGCCTGGCTTGTCATTTGGCTTCTCATCCTCCAGATCCAACCCAGAGATAAAGCCACAAGAGAAGACAGTGCAGCAGTTTGGCTTGCAGAGCATTAGACGTGCTGCTTTGTTTGTCATATTCAGTTGATGCAATTTCTTCTCTTTCCTTCAGAGAAGTTCTTGCCTTGGTGCATTGTTACAACTGGAAGCTCAGTAATGAATGAGAAGATGGAGCCTTCTCTGCCCCAACAGCAAAGAAGGGGTTTCTGCTTAGCCAAGCCAACAGAAAAGGAGTCTTGTGCTGTAGCAAATGCACAGAAGCTATGCAGAAGCAAAGCAGACGCTGTGCTTTTACCTATTCTACATTCATTCTGAATAAAGCAAAAATAAGCTAGAGATATTTAAGTACGTACTGAGGAAATAGAGTGGAAGTGGCACACATCCTGTCACTCTCCTGTGAAGATATACATGAAGAAAGACATTGAGGAAGAGGTGACTTTTGAGAAGATATTCGTACGAGGAGACTCATAGCCAATTTGACTGAACTTCCTCCTTAAACAGAGGAGAAGCGAGAAGGTAGAAAGCCTTTTTTAGAGAGATAAATGAAGGTAAGCATGAAGTCTGGCATTTCTGGCAGACTAAAAAGAGTAGGACAATAAAATAAGAGACAGTATTAGATTATATTACAAGGGCAGTTATGTTTGTGAGAACAAATAAATGTAAATTTGACATGATGGAGAACCAGAATCACTGGAAAGACAGCACAAGAGAGCACAAAGCATCTGGATCAATAAGAAAGGAGGAAATGGAGAGGAACAAGTGATCAAGGTAGATAAATGACCTGTGTCTATATGAAAATGATTTTAGGTGTTGGAACCAAGATAAATCGAGATATTGCAGGGAAAGCAACCACAGCTAGACAAAGTGTAGAGCAGAACATATAATGAAACAGATTTCTCACTGTGTATGAATGCAGCCTAAGTGATGGGGAGAAAGGTGGTATGGATATGACTGACAGAGAAATGCCAATAACGGGAGCTGAACAGAAACAGCGAAGGTTTGGTATTCCATGTGATGACAACTCCAAGGCAGGGAGGCCAAGGAGGTTGTCTGGAACCCTGACCTGGCCAGGAGGCAGCAGGGATAAATATGCAACCCATAAATAATCACCATCTTATTAATTTGAAAAAGTAATCCATGGTTCAATACAGTATTCAGAAATGACTGCAGGTAAGATTGTCCCAGGAGGTTAATTTAGAATGAAGGTGCCTGTCATTAGCACTAGGAAAAGCCTGCACTCATAAATGTTTATGATGCCCTTCTAACTTCTGTAAGATTACATGGGTAAAAGAAATAACAGAAATTGGCCTGCATTGTTTTGTTATTATCCCGTATTTAATTCATGTTTGCTATAATCTGCTTTTAAATACTGTCACCCTTAACTGAAATTATTGAGAGTTAGCATACTTGGCTAAGTGCAAATTAGAACAACTGTTGAAAACCCCCCACACACATCAAAACAACCCCCCAAAAAACACCAGATCAGCTCAGCAACTTGTTTCTACACCCTCCTTCTAAACTGTGTAATAAGAAACAACGAAAGTTAGCAGAAGTGGTGGAACCTGTTTTTGCTTTTAACGTTTTTGCTAACCTAGGCGCATCAATAGCCAAGTTACATTGTTGCCTTGGGAACTCTGGCAACCCCAGGCTTGGTTGTTATTTACCAAGGGGTGCAGTCAGGCATCTCTACATGAAGCATGTAATAAACAAGAGTATCATAGTTCATATTCAGGTAAGCAAGAGCTCTATGCATTATGAAATGCAGGAGAGCTGGTCTTTAACAAGAACAATGTTGTTTTATCTTAAAAGAAATAATGACCAAAATGGATAAAAGACAAAAAGCGCTAAATTATTTACAAACATGCAGCTGCATTGGCTTCACTAAAACCCAACCACTTTAAAAAACAGCAAAACATAATTCCAATAAAGCCTCTTTTCCTAGTCCTGCTCACTGTTGGTCAGTGGCTACAGCGCAGACCAGAATCGCGATGCATATTTATTTTTAGTTGTGTATTCTGTGCAATCCCTTTTGTTATGTGATCGGGTAGTAAGGCAAAGCTGCAAGGCAAGTTATGTTCTCCGTTATCGCTGATGTAAACGGAGTCGTTTCACTGACTCTCGACTACTTAACTGAATCTGTATCAGAGCTAACAAGATCTTTCCCAGGGATTGCAATTATTTCGCAGTAATCACACTAAGAAAAGAAAACGTATAAGGGCTGAAGGCTGCCGTTCAGAGCACGAGTATCTCGAGCAGTTCCCGACGCGTGGGGCAGCGGACCCACGCAGTGCCGGCTCCCAAGGCGCGCACCGGCCGCGGCCGCGCATTCTCCTGCCCGGGCGCCTGCGGCGGAGCGTCACCCCGCTGCGGGGTGGCCCCGAGGAACCGCCTCCCCGCCTACCCACGCCGGCGGGACACCGCTCGCTCAGTCCCCGCCACGCGATGTTCGTTACCGCTCCACGCAGCCCGCGCCGGCGACCGGGGGCGAGCCGGGCCACGGTTGCGTGGGGCGGCAGGGCTGCAGCCGTGGCTCGGCCCGGCCCTCACCCACCGCCCCGCCAGCGGACGGTCTGCTCCCCTGCGCCCCCGGCCCCACTCGCAGCCCCGCACAGGACAGGACAGGACAGGACAGGACAGGCCCGGCCCGGCCCGGCCCGGCCGCACCGCCCCACGCCACGCCACGCCACGCCACGCCACGCCGCGCCGCGCGCAGCGCCCCGGGCCGCTCTGGGCGGGCCCCTCCGCCACAGGCCGGCCAATAGCAGCGCGTCTTCCTCCGACCGGCGCTCCCATTGGCGGGGTCTGCGGCTTCCGCCCCGGGCCGGGATTGGCGGCCGAGGGGTGGCCGGGAAAAGGCGGCAGCAGGCAAAACCCCGGCGCGCCGCGGCAGCCCGCGCCACGCGTGAGTCCCCGCGCGAACCCCCCCCCGGCCCTGCCCGCGCCGCAACCAACCCTCCCCACACCGCCTTTCCCCCCTCCCCGCCCCGGCTGCGGCCGTGGCGGCCCGGGGGCGCCGATCTCGCGTGGGCCTTGCGAGGGGACCCAACCCGACCCAACGCGGCGCGGCCTGCTCGTCTTTGGGGAGGCCCCGCTCCCCCCCCTCCCCGCCTCAGTCCTGGCTGGTCCCCGCGGGGCGCAGTTCCCGTGGCCGGGACGGGCGTCTGGCCGGCGGAGGGGTGCTAAGGGGTTGCTCCCTGGGGGGCATCCGGGGGCCCCACGCAAACGCGCGCGGATCCCTCACCACCTGGTTACAACCGCTCGCACGGTGCAAGCACGGGACGTGGGTTCGGCCGAGGGAGTCGCTGCCCGGGGCTGTCAACCAGGCGAGCCCCGATGTTTTCCTTTTGTCTGGCAGCGTTGGCATCATCAGCGCAAACTGAAATTCTGGATGTGCGACTTCTGTGCTTGTAGTGGACGGATTTATTGTGTATCTGCATAAAATTTAAACTTTTTGCAAGGCTTCACCCAGCCACAACGCCTGCTTTTATTAAATGACAGAGATATTCATATCAACTTTTATTTTTGGCATGCCAAGCTTTTCCTAGGGGTGTCTGTAAGTTCCCACCGAAAGGAGCTTTGCATTTCCCTGGCCGCGGACCATGTTCCTGTTAGCAGCGTTGCTTTAGCCAGGGATTCAGCAGCAGTATCACGAGTTTCTATGTGCAAGGTTCAAATATCTGACTCAAAAGATGCTGAAGCTAAGTGGGCTGTTTGAATCTGTCCCTGTCTGTTTTTTGGTGTTTTTTTCCTTGTTTTGATACTCTGGAGATTTTTTTTTTTTTTTTTTTAATTTGAGATGTGATTTAACTGCAAGAAAGTTCCCTGAGCTGAAAGCTTGGATCATTTTGGTCTTCTTAATTTTTTATCTCTAATGGTGTCTTTTGAGTGTTTTTTAAATGTAAAAACTACATACCTGACTGAATCAAACTTTGCTTGATTTTCCATTCTATAACTGACAAGCCCACTTCCAAATTAGTAACCATTTTTTAGTATACTCAATTATTTGAAGTATTCACTTCTGCAGATAGTAGCCTGTGTGTTTAACATAAATGAATGGAAATGATACCTTGAATTATCAAGCCCCTTTCACCCTCCTCGTGGCCAGCAAGCCATGAATGTGTTCCTATGGCAGTTTGCAGGCAGACGGGAGCATTAATTTTCTTTTTCCAAACAAGGTGTTTGTGGCCAGCCTTGAACTGGAAGAGGCTAGAGCTGAGGCTGGCGTGGGGCTGAATTGGAGCAAGTAGGCTGTGGTGAGCGGCGGGGGTGTGTGTTCCTGTAGTAGTTTATGCTCTATTCTGTTAATGAGGCCATGCTGTTTAAGATTTGGAACGGGATTATCTGCCTACTCAGCACTAGCAGAGGGAGTGTCTACATGTGAGAGACTAGAAATATCTCTAATCTCATTCCATTAGTTTCCAAGTCCCACTTTACAGCAAAGCTCTCAAAAAAAGAGGCTGTTTGTTGCCTGTCCCTGTCCTGTTGCACTGAAGGTAGCTCGAATTCTTTGGGGAAAATATATTTCTAGCTCCATAGCTGAAACAGATAAATCTTTTCATTTGAAGCTTTTTAGAATACATTTCCCCTGTGTGGAAAAGTTCAGCTAGAACTTTGAAGGTTTGGTGAAGTTACAAGCAAGGAAGATCTTTGAATGGAACTAGTGTTGGGCAACTGTAAGCAGTGGCGCTTCCAGGCTCATTTATCACCGGTTATCCTGCCCTGGGGCTCTCTGCCTTTCTTTTCTTCATGAAATAAGATTTTCAGGGTTTTTTGGTTATACAATATTAGTACACTTTAGTAATTTACAGTTTTATTTACAGTGTTTCCAAGATTTGGGAAGAAGCATTTCAATATAAGCATGTGCTATTATTTCTTGTTATGGAGGAGGGCAACAAATAATTATGTCTTTTGTTGATCATATCTAGAAGAGAGAAATCTCTCATACTGAGATGATAAATTTTTCTCTTATAATTTTTTTCCAGTTTTCTGTCTTTGTATGGGTGCCGTTGCAGTATGCAATACAGCTATTTCTGTGTGCATCAGTTCCTTGGCTTTCAAAGCAAATTTCAGGGAAAAGATAATGCTTTAATGTGAATGAGGAGACACACAAGAGATGAAAGAAAATCACTTGTGTCTCAGCTTATCTTGCAGTCTTCCCTTTCCCTTTTTTGTCTTACTAGAGATAGTGGGTTTACTGCTTTAGTTTTTCTCTGGGATTATGGGTGATGCTTTGTTGTTTTAGGTAGCACAGAGGTACTCCCCAGACTCCCAAAATCTCATCTCAGGAACTCAGTGCAGGGCCAGGAAGTGTTTTACCAGATATGCTTGCTCCCCCAGGTGTCCAGAAGTGGTCCTCAAAGTCTTGGATTTTTTACTTCAGGTTTGTTTTATGATGGAGACAGTTTTGAAGTCTCACTATGATGAACAGCACCCTCATCAGGCTGAAGACTTCCATGGGAAGCATGAGCAGAACAGCAAGCTTTCAGGTACCTGCTAAAATAGAGATGGCTAACATTACATTTTGTTGCTAACATGCTTCTTCATCACTTCAGGAAGTTTCAGCATAAGTTGTAAGCTTGTCTGTATATGATCCTATTGTATAAAAAAATAATGACATTAAAATGTTTGAGGTGGCTTTTGATTTTAAATTTATTCTTGCTTTTTGTGTGTTACAAAATTTCAGCAGCAATAGTTTGTCACAAGTCGCTAACCCTACTACTTATTGCAGAATATGTTATTATATACCAGAATTCAAAAAAGGCAGTCCTTGAGAATAAAATTCTCTGACCAAAGTACACAAAAACAGTACTTTGCCTTTTAACGTATAATCACCAGCCTTATCCTTAAATATCTTTAGATGTTTCTATGTGCATAAAGCCACTGTTCACTCTTATCAGAGAAGCTGAACTATAAACATGTGTTCCAACAGTGGTTTTGTTTTCATTTTTGGGTCTCTTTGTGAATGTACTTCAATCTGGCCTTTCTGTGCAGTGCTTGCACAGTAACTGTGGATGGTCAGCCAGCTTATATATATTTAATGACTACTTATTTTCCTAGAAATAGATAGTCCTCTGTCAGTCCTCAGCACATCCATGCCCAGCATTGCATAGTATGATGCTGAATAGCATTTAATTGTCTCACTTTACAAATGCTTTTCGTTCTAGGAAGTAAAGAAATCACTTTAAAATATGCCTGTAGAAAATGTTGGACATTATTATTATTATTACACACTGATGGTACAATGACTGTTGTCTGTATCCAGCTGGGGATTCAGGTCCCAGAAGAAAATAGATGATGCTTGTATTGCTGTCTGTCAACAAGGACAGTCACTGATTGTTTCTATCACTTTTCAGCACCTTTCACACAAGAAGCTGTGCTGAGTTACTAACTGCTCTCAGTGCCTTGGGTGGGCACTACTCAGGCCTAGGATCCGCAGCCTGTGTCACCCCGCTGTTAGTGCCCAGACAGCAGTGAACTTTGTTCAGGCAGGAACCTGAATTCAGTGTCAGACAAAACAGAGTATTTGGCAGATTCTACAGCAGTTAGTGAGGGAGCTTTTCATGACTTAGTATCTACCTTAGGACAATTAGATTGGTGGCACAAAACAACCCAAAACCTGTTATGGGTAAGGAGAAATGTGCCGGTTTCTAAAGAGTTAAAAGATGTGCCTTTTGAGTCCTTGTTAGGAACGTTGCTTTTTGCCAGTTAAGACCTTTTTTCCTAACCAAGCAACTTTACTGGAGAAATTCCAGTGCAAATTATGCTACAGGTTACTGTCAGTACACTTTTTTTTTTACTAAAAACTGGAGCTTAAGCAGCTGTCATCAGAAGTCAGACTAAAATGTAAGTATTGGAATAAAACTGTAAGTTGCTTTATTTGGAGCAAGTTAGCAAACTAGTTCTAAACAATGTTGTTCTAAGAGAGCCTGTTAGAACTGTATCACTACTGAAAACAGACTTCTAGCTCTGTCCTGTGACTAATGACCTCTTGGGATAATGTTTGTGTAGGATGTTTCAGAACCCACTAACAGGCTTATCTTCCCAAGAGGAAAGGCCTGTGTCTTTGATTAATGCAATAATAACGTTTTGATGTTAAGTTCTTTATAGTTCTGTTATGTGGTTTTATTTCTTAACATCTTGGAGTATTCCTGGGGAAAATGAAACACAGTACAAATATCAGCCTTTGCCCTTTCCTGTAATTTCTGAAGATTTCAGAAAGTGTTCTTGAATGTCTTACATTTGTTTTGTAATACATGAGCATTTGTGCAAAAAGTTGAAATTACTGTACAAACTAACTGGAAATACCACTTTTTGTATGATAAAGCTTTTTATCAACTTTCTTAGTGACAAAACAACAAGAATTACAGCAATAATAAATAAATTTATCAATAAAGTTCTTGGCACACAGGCAATATTCATGCTATCAATTAAAATAACGTTAGGTAGTAACTTCTTGAATTTTTAGTGTTATTTTCAACAGAACTTTTTACTATACTGACAGGAAAATTAAGTAATTCCTTAAACTTTCAATTTCTTACTTTTCAAGGTGTTTAACTTAATCTGGCTTTCTAAAATTGGAGAATAGCCAGAATAAGTGTACAGTTGACCAGTTTTCCTTAGCCTTTTCCTTTGGGAATTATTAGATACAGAATCCTGTACATCTTGACTGTTAGTATAAATCTGGTCATTTTATCCTAGGATATTTTAAAAATTTTTAAATATGATTCCTAGCAGAACTGATTAACCTTTTATTTTTATTTGGTGATCAAATGTATCTTAAATGTATGTTAGCTGTTTTGGTGGGTAGCATAGAGGGTTTTTTTTTTTTATTCCTGAAATATCCCTCCTGAAATGACTTAGAACAAAACAACTTTGAGAAGCGTAGGGGACAACCTAAAGGAAGAAAATAAGTAAATGGATAGTAAGAGAGGCAGCAGGCTTCAGTTCTCAGAAGTATTTTTGGTATGTTGGTTTTTATACATTTTTGAAATAAAAAAATTTACAATCAAAAATTAACTGTAACTTGACTTACCAACTAATTTACTGGGCTTTTACCAGGAAGAAAGGGTTCTTTAGGCAGACTTCAGATTTTGTTGCTGCATAAAGTGATCTAAACCGTATTTTATTTCTAGCGTATCAGTGATATTTTGAAAATTATTCTCATTGTGTATGACTTACTGTCCTGATAAAGCATAGTATATTTTTATGTTTATAACACCATTTATATATTTATGTTGAATTTAATTTATTATTTATTTTTAGGATGAAAAATGTATACACCTTTTTTTTTCTTCCATTTGATTGACTGTTCTGTATAATAAAACATTTTTCCCCCCTGCTTTACAGAAATCAGTCACAGCCTCTACATAGTTCATCGCTTCAAAAGAACGGAATTCTTATTCAGGGTATAGAGAACACTTGAATGACAAGAATTTGTAAACTGAATGGAAAACTACATAATATTTTGAAGTAATACAGTACATCCTTGTCATGCCATCTAGTGATCACAGCACAAAGTGCAGCAATTTAAATGCAGAGCAAACATGTTTTTTGGTGTTTAAGTAAGAGTGTGAAAGACTACATTACTGATCTTAAAAAAAAATATATAATTATTTGCATCCACAGGCTGTGCTCCAGTGCTTACAGAAACAACTATTATAGTTTGTCTTTTTTCATGAGGTCTGCAACGTCAATTTCATAACATTTATCAATGAGCTGTAATCTGATGTCTTATAACCAGAATGCTCTTGCCCTCTTAGGAACTGCTAGGGAGCAGATAAGTGAAAAAAAAAAAAAAAACAAAAAAACAAAAACCAAAACCACAAAAACAAACAGATTTTTAAATGCTGCAGCATAAAAAGTAGTGTGATGAAGAACATTAATACTATCAAGTATGCAGATGGTAATGTCAACAGGGATAGATACCTCTCTGCTGTTTTTCCTGTGTTTATGTGAATTCACAGTCCTATGAACTGAAGTGTGATTTGTGATCTCAAATATAGATCAGATATTGAATCAAGCAATAAAATTCCTAACTTACTTTCCACATTCTTTCCACAGCAGGAATAAAAAAAGATATTGAAAAACTTTATGAAGCAGTGCCACAGCTTGTTAATGTGTTCAAAATTAAGGAAAAAATTGGAGAAGGTAAATGTTTTATTTTAGCTTGCTTAGGCTTAGAGTTCCTTTGTTATTTCTAACTTAAAAGGTATAAATCCAAGATCCCAATCTATGCAATTTAAGCCAAATGCCTTTTTGATTTAATTCTTGATCTCTGTAGGAATTCTAATATGTTGCTAAGCATACAGGTGTGTTAATTAGGGTCATTTTCAAGATATTTTCTTGAAAATCTGGTATATTAAAGCCTTTCAAATTTTGAGGTAGATTTGAGTAAATAAGTCCTAACACTCCATTCTTTTTCTCTTTTACACAAGAAATCTATTTATATGCAGCTGTGTTTTGGTATACGTAACTACTGTTCTTAAATTGTCTTTGTTTCCACTGAAACGCTGTGGGCAGAACTGGAGGAGGAGACTGAAAGATTATAACTGCTTGATTTAAAAAAAAAAAAAAAGTTTTTTTTTAAGACATACAGTATCAAATTTTAGAACACTTGTGTATACCTTGCCTTCAACAATTACTACTGCAGATACCTTCAATGAACGTTAGGCATGACTGTAAACAGATTCTTTGGTACTTCTGAGTGTGGGGTTTCAGCGCTTCTTAGAACTTTACACATTTGATCTCTGGAATGCTTTGTGACACTCCACACTTTCAAATAAAGATGTTGATGAGAAGCTGGATTGTTTTGCAGCTGTCTTGTGATGGAATACCTGTGATGGCAGGCTAGATGGCTAAAAGTTTGTGTCTCACTCCCCTACCCCCTCAAAACCCTCTACTCCATTCACCACAGCAATACAAAATTTCAAAAAGAAAACAAAACGAGTTCTGCCTATCATAATAAAGATAGTATAATTAAACAAAATATCTGTTCATGAATAGTACCCTGATTTTGCTCTTGGGAGCAAACAATGCTTTTAAAAGATACCACTTGCACTTCTGCAGCATTATGAGACAACAGGCTTCAATTTAGGATTCTACTCTGGAGTCACTTTCATTTTAGCAGTTCTCACCACCAAAAATAATGTCTGAGGTCAACTTGGTAAACCTTGTTGCTATAATCAATTCTGATGAATGTATGGGACTCTAGATTTTTTTTTTATGACTGCAAGAAATATTTAGAGTTTTTGCTGACATTTTGATGTATGTATGCATTTACAGACTGTTGAACTAGCATAATGCAAACACAGTACTTAAAATTATCAAAATAATTTTAATAATAAAAAATATATTTTATTATTTGTTATTTGAAAAATAATAAAAAGTAATTTGTACTGTTTATTCACATGGAAGAATCTATGTTCAGCTCAGATCATTAGGATAAATGAACCTCCTAAGAGGTATATTAGGATATCCTTAGAATGAAATGGGTGGGTACGTTTAGCATATAGGCTGAATATTCTTAAATGAGTCTATTGCACTCTCTGTGTGGTAATGCTCTGGGCAAACAAATAGTGAAGTTACATATCATGTGGGAAGTCTTACTTTGTAGATAAGGTAACAGAATTAAGAAAAATATAGTAATTTCAGAAGTTTTTTGAATAGTAAAGGCAGTGCTTTCCAGATTAACATTATATAGCCCACTTACATCATAGGAAGAGGGGAGTTAGATGTCAGATGAAAGTAAGCTACCTAAACAAGAAAGCAAATCAAAGATAGGAAATTTACATTCAAAGAGCTCTGTGTCTCAGGCAGGTTAGACAGTGTTACATTTGCATTTTTACTGACATAAAAAAACTTGTATACAAGATCACTGAATTCAGCAGTAGAAAAAAGGAACTCCTTTTTCTCTTCTAGAATATGCTTTTGATGTAGTATCAAGTATACTGCAGGCTTGTGAACAGTTAGATCACTTCTGTAAAAATCTGAATTGACCTAATTAAAAATGCTGAAGACAGTGTTTTTCTCCCTTCTTTACAGGTACTTTTAGTTCAGTTTACTTGGCCACAGCACAACTACAAACAGGATATGAGGAAAAAATGGCTCTGAAGCACTTGATTCCAACCAGTCACCCTCTGCGAATTGCTGCTGAACTTCAGTGCCTCACAGTAGCAGGGTACATAAAAAAGTTATGATTGTCATGACTTAACTGCTGAACATTGTCTTACTGGTCTGTATTTATTTATTTTAAGTTTTGGCACTTTGCTTGATTTTTTTTTTAACTGCAGAATTGAATATTCTTTTTATCAAGAGCAAATAAGAAATGGAGTGTCTTCCGTGTAACGGATGCCTTTTTCTGCTAGTCTCAGTTTGCGGGTGGTGCTGTATTTTCCATCTGAGAAGTTCTATGATGTATCTCTGTGATAACAAATATTCCAGTCCTGAAATGCCTGGAAAAAGTAATCTCTTCATCAGAAAACGTGGTTTTAGAAATGAATACTTGTTGCTTGAGTGTGCTGAATAGCACCCTCGAAGTAGTTGGTATCACGAAGATTAGATCCTACATTCAATTAGAGCAGTAACTACAAACCATGGCCCCACAAGTAATATGTGGAGCCCTCGTCACAAATTGCAGAACTCAAATGGAACATAGCAATGAGAGGCAACAGAATGAGACTGCTATCAAAATATAAATTAGATTATAACGGAAATCCTGACTGAAGTTTTTAAGAAATAACAGAAAATAAACATTAATCTTCTGGTCTTTATTTGGTGACATTACTTTTCTTTTAGGGGACAAGATAACGTTATGGGAGTAAAATACTGCTTTAGGAAAAATGACCATGTGGTTATTGTTATGCCATATCTGGAACATGAATCCTTCCTGGTGAGTCCCAGACATTTTATGTGTAGCAAAACTTTTAATTGAAAACAGTTGCATAATTGTAGTATCCAAATAATCTTCTAGGACATTTTGAATTCCCTTTCCTTTGAAGAAGTGAGGGAATACATGTTTAATCTGTTTAAAGCATTGAGGCGCATTCATCACTTCGGTATTGTTCACCGTGACGTCAAGCCCAGTAACTTCCTCTACAACAGGCAGCTAAAAGAGTAAGTCTGTCCAGATAATCATATTGTGATCTCATTTGGGGATGTGTGCCTTGGCAGAACAGAATCAATTAGGCTTTTGTTTTTTTTTTTTTTTTTTTTTTTTCCTTCCAGCTGCCTAACATATGTGTAAGTAATAAAACTAAAAAAGGGGTTTTTTTATTTGTAAAATTTTTCTTTCGGTGTTTAGGGACTTGAGGAGGGAAGGAATTTTTTTTTTTTCATACTTAATGTAATATCTGCCTCAGAATGACAAATACCTGAAAAAATGAAGATTTTACTATTGAGTAAAAATACTACATTTTTTAATAAGACTAAAATCAGCTTTTTTTTTTTTTTTTTTTTAATAAGAAAGCTAATAGTGGCTTGTGGTATATAGGCTGATACTTGTAAATTCTTACTTGTGGATAGAGTGACACTGGTACAGGTAAGATAGTTGCATTTGGGCTGTTTTCACCTTACATTGAATTAATGTTTATAACTAGTAGGGTTGGGTTTTTTTCTTGCAAGTTACAATATTTAAAGACTGTAAAAAAGCAGAGTACTGCTATTTTGTGAAGCTGAAATGGATAGAATAAGGTACTGTGTCAGTGCTAGCAGTCCTAGAGCTGTATTGGTGAGTATTGTGCTATGTACAATTGAGACTGGAGTGCATCCAAAGAAGGGCAATGAAGCTGGTGAAGGGTCTAGAGCACAAGTCTTATGAGAAGCAGCTGAGGGAAATAGGGTGATTTAGCCTGGAGAAAAGGAGGCTCAGGGGAGACCTTATCGCTCTCTACAACTGAAAGGAGGTTGTAGCGAGGTGTATGTCAGTCTCTTCCCAGGTAGCAAGCGATAGGACAAGAGAAAACAGCCTTGAGTTGTGCCAGGGGAGGTTTAGATTGGATATTAGGAAAAATTTATTCACTGAAAGTGTTGTCAAACATTGGAACAGGCTGCCCAGGGGAAGGGGTTGAGTCACCATCCCTGGAGGTATTTAAAGGATGTGTAGATGTGGTGCTTAGGCACATGGTTTATTGGGACTTGGCAGTGTTAGGTTTATGGTTGGACTTGATTTTAAAGGTCTTCTCCAACCTAAATGATTCTAGAATATTATTTAGTGAAAGCTTGTAGGGGAGATTTGATTATATCTTGTCAAACCACAAGCTTAAAAATTTGAGAAATACTGATTTTTAAATTTTTTTTTTAATCTGTCAAAATAATTTGTACTGCTGCTTTGCTCTTCCAGCATTTGTTTGAGCCTTAATCTCTACCTTTGTGTGTGGGAGCCATGAAATTGAGTTTGTCTGAGACCCAGAGACAGCTGGATTGTCTCTGTACTGGTTGTAGCAAAAAATAATAAAAGACAGATCTGAAGTGTGAACTAATGTAGTCTTACCTGTTTGAAGGCTGAAGTAAATTCCAGTAATATTGCTTGAGGTCTGGCAAAACTGTCAGCATTGTTAGTCTTGTCTGTCTTCATTCACTGCTACATTTGTCCTCTGCCCAGGGGACTCCTGCAAGGGTGAAGTCACTTGTACTTGACTGTTGGCTGAAGGTTCAGAGCTGTAGGATTCAAAGAACCCCAGAAATTAATTGCTGGGGATATATTTTTTTTTAACATCACTGGAGAAAGTATACATTTGAGAAGATTCTGGTACAAGAAACAATGAAGTAAGATGGTTATAGGGTAAAAACAGTGAGAGGATAGGACAAGAGGAGGAGAAGGAGGAAAATAGGACTGTGATGCTGTCTGTCAACAGCACAGATAAGTGACATACTGAGTAAAATGTGAAAGAAAGGTAAGTAAGCACGTAGTGAATAGGAAATTGAAGGGTTGATGGATACTTTGTGACTCCTGATTCTAAATCCCTGTCTTTCAGGTATGCTTTGGTAGATTTTGGCTTGGCACAAGGAACCCCTGATACGAAAATTGAACTTCTCAAAACTGCCTCCTCTGAAGACGAGCAGGGAAGTTGCTTGCAAAATAATCCCACCATAGCCTTGGGAAATGGGGTTTCTCTCAGTGTCACAGCACCTAAACAGATAGCTCAACAGTCAGCCTCAAAAGCAGCTGATAAAAGGTCCAGCTCTCTTTCAAAAATACAGATTAAACAAGGAAGAGGAGGAAAGGTTCTCAGTCTTTTTCATTAATATTGTTGTATGTTTAATGTATTACTTCATCCAACAGGGGGAGTTGTAATACTTGAACAAAAGTTGTGCCTGCATGTCTTGCAGGGTCCTAACGTGATGCACAGATACAGTTTTCATATCAAAGTGGCTAGTTTTATATAACCCTATTGGCATCATTTGTTATGTGTTAACATCTAATACAATGCTGAAGGCTGTATAAAACCCTAGCATGGGTTACTATTTAGACAGCCTTAAATCTTTTTTAAGTGACATGTACTGTGGAACTTCTCCCCAAGCCAATAATTATTCATCTATGTTTAGTTATTAGTTGCATAACAAATGCAGTACAGATGACATCCAGATTGTCTTGGGGCACTTCTGAGGTGTGATTAGTTTTATAAGCATGTTTGCTGTTCTGACTAGACCATGTTTTCTTCATCCACAGTAAACTGATGCCTGAAAATGACTTACCATGCAGCTGTTCTTGTTTTATGTCACTTCACACTTTTTTTTTTTGAACTGTCAGTATCCAGCTGACTGTGTGTTAGATAGGATCCTTATTGTCCTTTTTGTTGGTATTGTAGGAGGATTCCATTCACCATTCTGTCCAGCGCTCTGTCTTTGGAGAGAGGAATTTCAATGTCTATAGTTCCACATACCAGGAGAACTCAAGTACAAAAGTAAGAAGTATGACTCATCAGTAAGAGCAATCCGTTATGTATTTAAAAAATTATAGAACTGGTGGTTCTGTAAGACTGGACTCCAGGATGCTGTGGGACTAAAAGTTTGAGCAGATTATTAAGTGTGTCTTTGCTGAAAGACTCAAAGAATTTTTCATTTCTGTTTCAGTCCCTTTTGAAACTCTTAAAGAACTAGTTATATAGCTGTCTCCCAAGCTAATCCTGTTTGTATGCTAGTTATCTTTTTTCCTACACATGTATGTGTGCAACTAAGATATACTTAGCTTGTGAAACTTCTTTTTTTTTTCTTTTTATTTTGCAGTCGAAGCTAGAGAGAAAACTTGTAATAAGTATTTTTCTGTACTTTCTGTAATTAGTATTTAATATGATAGAGGGGAAACCCCAATTGAATTAGAGGGTTTGGGCAACAGTGATCATCTTACTGTAGAATTAGGTAGGGCCTTGTGTGTTGCTCTGGCATTTCATATACATTTTTTTTTATTCTCATGTTGAACCAAAAGAATTCTTGAAACATACTAACTTGAAAAATCCTTGTCTTGTAGTTTCAGAATACCTAATGTATGTTGGTTTGTAGTGAACACTGAAAAAATGTTTTCTGAAGGGGAAGGGGTGGAAATCAGGGTACTTGGAAAGCTCCAGTGTCTGTTTTATAGATGTCATGATATTGTTAAAAAGGTTTCCTGTCTTCTGTTATAAAACTGCAGCTTCTTGCTCATGAGCACCTGTTCAGTCTTAGTATTTTAGGAACTGGCCTATTTATATGTAAAGGTAAGCTTCTTAAATATGTCACCTTTTCTAAAATCTCTACATTGCAGCTCATAAAACAATCAAAGATGATAGATGTTTCATCTAGGAAGTTAGTAACAAAGAAGAAGATTATTTCTACCAAAACAGTGAGCAATGGGGCAGCCAGGAAAGCTGTCAGTGGTTGTCCCTCAAACCTGACCTGTGACTGTTACGCAACGGATAAAGTTTGCAGTGTTTGCCTTTCAAGGTAATTTGCTTTGATAATGTAAAATTGTCTGCTATGCTGTCAAGCACGCTCAGAAACTTAGATTTACTAGACAGCTGATTTAGTAGGTGAAAGATAGCATTTGATCTGTGCAACCCTTAAAACACTGAGTATGCTCTTTTTAAATAAGAATAGCTCATGGAATTTGTGGAATAATTGGTTCACTGCTGTTTGCAGCAAGAGAGATTCACTATTAATGACTTTGTTGTTGTATTTAATTATCCACCTGCGTGTGTTGTAGAAAATCACTTGAGTTAATTACACCACTTAGAAGGCAATACATCAACCTGTCCTCAGTCTAATAGGCCTAAATCATGCCAATGGCTTGGATTCTGGAAATCATGAAGTGTAGAATAAAAAGGGAACATGACTGTTTTGTATCTGTTAATTTAAAAAATAACATTTACATTTTAATAATAGGTTAGAGAATCTTAATAGCTCTGTTGATCCATTTGGAGTTAGTTTTGGTTATGATCTGCTATTATCTACACATTAAGAACACAGATTAATTCAGAGAATTCTGCTTACTAGGCATAGTCATGAACCTGTGGGGTCCCTCTCTTTCCAGACTGTCAACATATGGTAATATCAATTTAATTTCAGAAGTATGAAACATGAGGAATTTGCCAGACTTAGAAGTGGCCCATAGAAGGAAGACACTTTAAGACACACAAGAAAGCTCTGAAAAGTTGTTGTGGGTTTTTTTGTGGTTTTTTTTTTTTGTTTTTTTTTTTTTAAATAATAAGCTCACACCTTTTAGTTAATCTATTGAAAAGTAAATTCTTGTCAACACTCAGAAATAGTGAACCGTAGTTTGCTGTGGACTAATACAAAGCCAGAACATCCACATTCAAGAATCTAGTGCATTTTTTGCCTTTGGTTAATTAGTCTCAACTTTCAAGTGTCCTGTGAAAACAAGCCTTTAGCAAAAATGATGCTGCTGTTGAATGAAACTAAAAAAAATATCATTATAAGTGAGATATGCAATAAGTATTTCTGTGGGATTACCTTATGCTAGATAATAGAATAAAAATACAATAATGTAATTTATAAGGCTATTATGCAACATAATTTCATGCTAGAAGAGTATAAGGTGCTTCAAATTTATATAAAACTTGAATAAGGCAAGGTTAGGCTGTTTACACATCTTACACAAGTATATTCTAAAAATAATATTAAGCATTATTATAATTAGAACTTATTTGTGACCTTTTATTTTCTAAACACGTTTGTCTTTTATTACAAGGTGTCAGCAAGTTGCTCCCAGGGCAGGAACACCTGGATTCAGAGCACCAGAAGTATTAACAAAATGCCCCACCCAGACCACAGGTACTGCACAACAGACTGAAACTAATGCATTTTTTCACCTTTTGATCCTTCTCATTTATGCATATTACATTGTCTTTTTTATGGAAGGGGTTTTGTTTACATGTGAAATTCATATTATGATCCCTTCTAGCACTTAATCAAGCATTTCCTGATTTTAATTAAACGTTTACTATTCAGAGTAAGAAAAACTTAGGAATATTTTTCCTGTATTTGAAACTTGGATATGTCTATTAATTTGAGGGGTAAAACCATATGCAGGAGTTGAATATAATGAGTTTTAAAAGGAAACAAAACTAGTTTTTATCAAGTTTCTTGGTTTATTGGCTTATTTAGTCAAGATTTTACTTGAACACATCTTGGGGAGAAGATGTACTTTAGACTTTTCTAGACAGATTGTTACATACAGTTTGCTCTCATAGCAGGCATAGTTAATGGTATAATTGCAAATGTAGTTTAGAAAGTGTTGGTTAATACTCTTTATCAGAATTTTTCCTTTTTGCTAGTTCTTTAAATAGTTGGTCTATAAATGTCAGTATTTATCTAGTAAATAAGTTTCAGAGGTCTGGGTAAATATCAGGACAGAGCAGAGGGATGGTCAATGCATTAGCTGATGCAAGTGGGATGGGAGAGGTTGTACCTACCTGGAGAATGGAGGACCAGTAAAAACAAAGTTACCTGTTAAAAATTTGGTGCATCACCAGGAGTTTTGACTTATGATAAAGGAGGATAAATACAAATGTCCTCAAAAATGGGATTTAAAATAACAGTTTTCAGCCACTTTTTTGCTGAATACCTTTTGAGAAAATTATCAATTTCAGTACTTAAAGTGTGCATACACACTCAGAATAGACACAACGATACATTTGATCATCTTATCCCTAGATTAGTGTTACTTTAAACAACATCTGATCTGTGGGTACGACTGGGATTTCAAGGGGTATGGCAGCCTGTTTGGAGTTGCCGTGCCTGTGCTATAGCAGCCAGCTTTATGGGCTAGAAGACATCCAGAAATCCAGGACAAACTTAGACAATCTCTGTCTAGACAGAATTTAGGCAGAAAGAAGACATACCTAGGAAATCTTGGACACATGCTGGTGTTAAATATGCTTTCAGACAGTTTTCTGTTCTCTAGGGTAATGCAGAACAGGATTACAGAAAATATGGGTAAAACTGGAAACCCTTGGGTGTGGCACAGACAGCCCTAAAAGCACTGAGTCAGCGGTGCCAAGCTCCTGCAGTATGTCACCAGAGGCCTTAATTAGACCTGGGTAGACTAATACTAATGTTTATGAGATTCTGTTGTATTTGAACTAACAAATCTTGTCCACTTCCATTTGAGTTTGCTGTAGTCACCTCCTTGTATTCTTTCCAATCTTACTACTAGTTCTGGTCTCTGTGCTAAGATGAAGTTACCAGCTGGATCCAGCTGACTCTCTTACAGAGCTACCTTAGTGCATCTGACCCAGGTTCACAGTGCAGGGAATACAACCTAAGCTCCTAAACTGACGTTAGACAAATCCAGTTACACTTTAACTTGGTTTGTCCCTCTTCTCCCCTTTCCTTGGTCTGCCTCACTAGTTGAGTAACACTAGACAAAAGCATAGAGAGTATTCGTGATTTTGATATCATTGCACAGGAGCTTGCAGTCTGATGATGATCCAAGCTCTACCAGAACTGTAGGGCCAGGATATACGAGCCATTCAGTCATACAATGTCTATTAATTTCAGTAACAGTTAAGTAGTTAAACTTCTTCAAAGGCCTTGACCTTGATGACTCCAGATTTCCCAACCACATACTCAGGGTGAGGCACGCTTCAAACAGATAGTATGATCTTTTCAACAGTGATACAGTAATACTAAAATTCTTTTTCAGGAACTATGAAGAAGATACAACATTTTTCCACTGTAAATTGTGCCAAATGATTAACTTGGATTTTTATTTTTTTTAATAAAAGGCTTAAAATCTGGTTTTGCAACTGAAGTCCGCTTAATACTTTTTTTTTTTTTCCCCCCAAAGTCCTGTGGTAGTAGTCTTTCTAACTAAAATGTCCAAATTAATTACTGCCTATTTTACTACTTATTTTTTTGAAGAGAAGTATAACTATGGCTTTATTTCCCAATTGTTAATTTTTCTCTTTAGAGTTTGAGAATCCTTCACACTCTTTCACTTTCCCTGCCATCTCTCAAAATGTGCACCTTAGTGAGCCAAAAAATTATGGCAGACAGGTATTCTCATAACTTTCAGTATTAAATTTTCCATCATGCTTTGGCGTCTATCCCCAAAGTACTCTCTGTACTCCTCATAACACAATGAAAGTGATGAATAACTCCTATTACAGTTCTTAAACTGGCTGTCTTGTCGAGTGATTTCATATTAGAGAGGAACAAAGTTCATAGTAAGATAAATTTTTTACTACTGCTTAACTGTGGCAGCCTCAGTCCCAGAAAAATTCAGATTCACATTCATTTATGAATTATTTTTTATTTATGATCCTTATATAAGGTTTTCTTCATATGAAGCAAACTTAAATAAGTATCAAAACTAGCAAGTTTTTCACCCCGTCATGTCCCAGGGTAAAAAAGCCTCAAACACTCTTGGTACATTTTAAGTTTAGCAAGTTAATGGAGTTACTCATGAAAAATTCTATGGAAAAGCTTAAACACTCCCTCTGCATCAAAGCAGGAAATTATTCGTCAGTCTAATTATACTAATTTCCAGTGCTTACTGAAGTGTTATCTATGTGACCAAACTCTTTCTGATAGAAATTTTTCAGATCATAATTTCTTTTTAAAGCAAGTTGTGATTTTGTTTATGATGAAATTGTGAGTTTAGTTATTACAAAGTTTGCTTTCAATTGCAGCAATTGACATGTGGTCTGCAGGAATTGTATTCCTTTCTTTGCTCAGTGGACGGTATCCATTTTACAAAGCAAGTGATGATTTAACTGCTTTGGCACAAATCATGACAGTTCGTGGATCCAGAGAAACCATTCAGGCTGCTAAAACTTTTGGTATGCAAACCTTAATTGTGGAGAAAAGGGGAAAATATATGCTTGGTCTGCTATTTATTGCAGTGACTTACAAACTGATTAAAAAAAAAAATTATGTTTGGGAGTCGTCTTGGAGGCCAGTCACACTTTTTGCATGTAAAACACTAAAAGTAGTAGTCTACGTATATGGAGTTCTAAGAAAGTTTTGTATTTTTGTGTCTTCTATAATTTGTATTTGAGGTATTTCATGCCATAGGTTTCCCATCCTATCTACTGCATTTCACTAAGTCAGGGCCACTTGAGTTGAAATATGCCAACTAAATGTTTTCTACTGGCATTTGGTTAGAGTTCTTGAGGCAGTGTTTCTATTCCTGCAAAATTTTGCCCAGGAGGCTGCAGTCAATAATATTTAGATGATGTAAACCTTGCTTTTTCCCCCTCAAAGGGCTAGTAAAAAAAAAAAACAAACAAAAAAAAACAATAAAAAACCAAACCAAACAACAACAGATGGTCTGTTTAAAAAAACAAAACTACCATAAAACACAGAAAAAACTAAAATAACCATTCCCCCAGTTGTTTGCAGGCCAAATGCTGCAGCACTTGCTACGTGGAAGTATAACTGACAGCATCGATTTTCATTCTCCAGAGGTTTAAAAATCGGAGTATCTAATTTTCTTCAGTTCTGTTAAAATGACAGTGAAATGCAAAAAGATGGTGTGTGGCATGAGTGACAACCTGTCACTGCAGAATTCCTTGAACAAACCCAAACAGCTTTGTTCTGCACAGAACTGAGACTATTATCCCTCTGACTCGCTGGGGCTATTGCTGTAAAGCACGGCTGGTTTGGAGGAGTGGGGTGGGGTTTGGATGTGGTTTTCTGAGAAGTCTGAATTTTTTTTCTATTTAATGCTGGTTACACTTCCAGACATGAAGTTTCTCTGAAACAAACTTGGATGTTACAGTTGCATAGAAAATATAATAAAATGTCACTGTAAAATCTTTTTTTCTAGGTAAATCAGTTCTGTGTACCCAAGTTGTCCCAGCACAAAACTTAAGAACTCTCTGTGAGAAGTTGAGAGGAACAAATAGCAGCTGTAAGAGATCCCAGGGTGAAGTGCTCAGCAAGTCTCTAAATGACTCAGCTTTGCCAGTTGCAGTAGACAAACAGTGTGCTCCTGAGACACTTGGAAAACAAACTCAGCACTTAAAGAGCTTTCAGGAAGGTGATGGTGCTTTGGAAATGAAGGCAACAGACATGAAAGGATGGGATCAGGTTCCTGATGAAGCATATGACCTACTTGATAAGCTACTAGACTTAAACCCTGCAACAAGAATAACTGCAAAAGAGGCTTTGCTGCATCCTTTTTTTAAAGACATGAGGCTCTGAGAAGATACCATATTCTATTATTACTTTCATATATTTCATGTGGAAATGAGATACTGAGGTAGTTTTACCTTGTTGCCCTCAAGATTTACACTCATTGAAATACCATCACACTGTGCACAGAACTACTGAAATTTTGTCTTGAACAGTTGGACTGCAAATGTCAGTTTACTTTAAGAAATACTTGCAGATGTAAAAATTACACAAACATTACTAACATGGTCTTATCCTAAGATACTTCTGAGGGGTTATTGCTGTGCACACCTGTTCTCTGAGAAAGTTAACTCTGATCAAAAACTACGAAGAGTTTCACAAGCTCTATGCTTCATTCTTGAGATATTCCCTTAAAATTTACAAATTTGCCTTAAGGTAGGATTGAAATAAAGTACTTGAGAGACTTTTTTCCATACTTGCACATCTCTGCTTTGATCCTGATTAGTACATGGGGGCTGAAAATGGAACAAAGTGTATCAATTTTGTTCAGACTATTTTCAGAGAACACTTACTACTTCAGGAGTGTTGCTAGAGGAGGGACCAGGTGCTAGAGGTTATATCATCAAAAGAAAAGCATAACTGTTTTAAAAGTGTATTTTTGTTCCTGTCTGGTCTTTCCTATTTAGGCAATAGTAATAAATGCAGTTACTCATTTTGCATACAGCTACTGCCTTCAGTATGTCTTGTGTGACATGCATAGGTTTGGTTTCTGTTATGGAAACTGATTTTTTTAAAAGAATATCTGGTGAATAAAGGATTTGTTTTTATAACTTCAAAAGACTGTGTAGAGATGCTTCTATAAAAATTAGTCAGGTAATGTTTTCCTGGAGGATGTTTCCGTTCAGGAAGAATTATGCACATTTGTTTCCTGCATAAATTCCTCAGTGGTAGAAAACACTTTTCAGATAGCTCTAGGGTATATGACTGCCATAGTGGAAATATCTTAATCATCAAGGAAGTCTTACCACAGAATTAGAAGCTAGCTATTGTCTTGTCCTAAGTAGGAAAAACAACCTTAATAACCTCTAACCCTGTACATTCAATGTGCAAAGTAAATTACATTATATTCAGCAGAAGTTACTCTAAAACCCTTGATAGTTCCGGAGAATGAAACTTAATACAGTGGTTTTCCATGTACGTTTATTGAAATGCTAATGGTGGTGTTGCTGTAAGAGGTTACAAGCCATTCTGAGAAAATATTGCTGCTTTCATAACTTTTGTATAAGCCTTCTCATATGAGCTGGTGGCTGTGCTAGTGCAAAGGTCCTGACCAGGACTGGGGCTGAAGAAACATTATTTCAATATATTCAAAATCTTGAATATATAGAAAGTAATGGTAAAGTTGTTCTGTTCCTGGAATCAGCTGTTAGAGAAAAATATTTGCAGATGTCAGATATTGATTGCAGAAAATCTTGAAACTCACAAGACCCTGGGGCCCACGTCTTAGTAATTTTTGCTGTTTATATAATTTCAACACAGTACGTCACCAAGAAATTATTTATCTAAAGGAACTGTGGCCAAATTCGGCAAGCAATGCTGTCTGCCAGTGTCTGCAGATGTATTGTTTCCTCCTACGTTCACTCATGCTGTCTATGGTCTTACGAGAGCACTAGCTGACAACAAGCAAAAATATGTCAACTATCTATTGTGAACTTTCTAAACAACTTCAGCTTGTTAAGCTTTCCTGCTACCCACAGCACTGAGCAGCTCCTTGCAGCAGGCACTAAAACAATTAACCACTGCATAAGTTTAATAGCCAAAAAAGGAAAATTATTGCTAATGGTGTTTTTACCAAAACATCAAGGGTAGAACAACACATTGTTATTCCTTTGTCCAGATAGCTATTTATTTAAAACCTGGAGAGGATTTTGGGGGGGGGGGGGGGCTGGGAAGATAAATTAAAAAGGTGTTTGTACAAGCATATGCCTATGAAGTACTTCTTGTAGCACTCTACAAAAGAATGAAAGGCAGAAGTAAAATGTTAAATGCAATGGGCTCTTAATGAAAATGAAAAAAAAAATATTTTAAAATTAAGGAAAACAGTAGAGGAGCAGTGGTGCCACTGAGTTTCCTGCTTCTCTCTCCTGTGGTTCTAAAAATCTGCCAAAGCCATAGGTAAGAGCCAAGTACTAAGATTCCTTTAAAGTTTAATTACCTTAATTGAAATGTTTATAAACTGAATGTGAATCTCCTACCATGAGAGCTGCAATTAGAAGAAACGGCACAGAAATGACATTGCTGCAACACATGTTCAGCGGTGCTGGGGCTGCAGCTGGATTAAAGTTATGTTCTGGACAGTGTGCTATGACAAGGATATTAATTAATTGGCAAGCAACCAAAAACGGCAGCAAAAACCAGCATGGACTTGGAAAGATGAAGAGGAACTAATACCTAAAATCCTGAGAACAGAATGCTGTGAGCAAATCTAAATACATCTGTGTATCTAGCGTAGGGAAGACGAGCTTATTCTCTGTGCTAAGCCAGGCTAAGTGAGGAAATTGTGGCATATATTAAGTTCATGACATCTTTCCTAGTTGTAAATGATAATTAGGAAACAGGAGGTCATCTTAGTAAGAGTGTTTGAGGAAACACCTGAGAAACAGCAACAATTTTTTTCTGGATAATACTGATAATAAGGGATAAATGAAATTCCAAATTCTATTGCGTTCATAGTTCTATCACTTTTGAGATCAGACTCAGCGAAATGTTTATTTAAAGCAAAATACTATGTGGATAAGAAAATAAATGGACATCAATATTCTGTCTGAGAGTATTCGATATCTTTCTTGTTTTATGTATTTGCTATAGCTAAAGTTTACATATTCTCTGCTCTCCAGAAAGTAAAGGCAATGTGGAACCAATATGCAGCCAAGACTTCCTGTGCAGGTGCAAAAGGCTCCCCTGAATCCTTGAGTGGCCTCCTGAGGCCACCAGGTGTGATGGGATCCTCAAGTGTTTCCATAACTGTCCAATCTCCAGCCAAGTTCCTATGGTCAGGAGCCACGTTGGACCTTAAGGTAGAACACAGAGATTTTCATTCCAGGGCACCTCTGAGATGGGTAACCCAGCAATCAGTGCGTTGTGGTTTTGCAGGACTAAAACACACATCAAACTCATTGGCGGGATTTATAATCAGTTCTGGCTTCAGTGAAACATCTTATTTTGGGTATGACTGCCAAGCAAAAAATACCTTCTTTACAAAAACGATTTATTTTCCTAGCATCTTTCTGACCATTACATTCTACTAGTCAGCAAAATACAAAGAAAAAAAATCTTTAGAGCCAGTCTCAGATATTTGTTGGTATGAAAAGGTATGATGTTCTTCCAAACTAGATGACATGTAAAAGAAAGTGTTTGCATTTAGCAGGGTACACCTGAAATTTTCCTACCTCCTGAAGGCAGAGTACAGAAGACAACAGAAGTAAAAAAAAAAACCAAAAACAAAAAAACAAAACACAACCAACAGTTTTCTTCTATTTGTGCAATCTATAACTATTTCAAAGACATTTCAGCAATGGGGAGAAAATGACTAACCACTGAAGGCACTTAATAGAACAACAGCATTTTAAAGGAAATTAATACTTAATGGATTCATTAATTCTATAATGAAACAACATATCTCAATTGGTAGGCTTATAGCAAGGATGATACTCTGAGACATTACTCAAGCAATGTTCTTGCTCAGCATAGTTATAAATGGGTTTGGTGTTTTGGTTTTTTTTTTTGTATGTTTGGTTTTTTTAAGCACATAGTGATTTTTTCTACTAATGTAGCCACAGCATGTTCACTTCAAATTCCTCTTGTACCCTTTCCAGAAAAGAGAACATGTACCAGGTCAGTGGCAGTACATGTGTAGTTCATACTCCCTTTTGCTGCTGAGTTCCTGGCTGGCCAGTTGAAGGGGCAGTAAATATTTAAATTAGCAGCCTGCACGCAGTGGGTGGAAATAGGATAGTCCCTTTGATCATAGGCTTACGAAAGCCAGCATATAGAATTTTGTTACTCTGGTAACAAAAGATTCCTGGTACCACTGAGGTGAGGGTCCAGTAAACTGGGTATTTTGCATCAGCAAGTTACAGCATAACCCAGATATCCAAGGGGTTTTAAAAGTGCCTGTTCTATACTTAATTCTGCCTCTCCATGACTCATCCCTTTTTACTTTCATGTCCTTTGACTTTGCAAGAATATTATCCCTATACAATGCTTTATTGTATCATGTTAAAAACTAACCACTATAAGCATTCCTGAGTATCCCCAGAGTATTGTTTCTTCCATATCTGGAAAGACTGAAATCCTCCTGTGGGGATATGGCAGGGAAAAGCGTGGTTTTGTTACATGTTATTTGCTTTCTTGTATGAAATTCTTAATTGGTTTTCAGAAGAGTCAGATTTTAATCTAAGACTTAATTATACCTTTGTTTCAAAAATACTAGTGCTAAGAAGTGTTTTACCTAAGTTATCCATTTGATCCATTTTTTTATATGGCATACACTTGTAACAAATAATGCATAATTAGTTTTACTTCTTAATGTGAAGAGATAGTGATGAAGACTAACAATTGGAATATTCAAAGAAAATTAACTTCTTATGATTTAAAGTTATATAATTTGGTTTAATGAATGCCATGGGTCATGTCTAGCAGAAGGCAGCTCATTGATAAAATCTCTCTTGTACTTTCCAATCCTGTCTCCTCCCACGACCTCTCCCAGAAAATCCTACCAGAGGATCAGATTCCTGCACTGTGTTGCTATAAGGTATTTGTCTTTAATGATTCTTTTGCTGCTTTGAACATTACTGTGCATTATGTGCAAACCACCAATTATTTCCAAGTGTCCTATGAGTCCTCTCTCAAGTCCTGCTTCTGTTCTACTGTCCATTTACTCGTTTCAAAGATCTCAGTTTCCGTATCAAAATGCCTCACTTGAACTTGGCAGCATAGGTAAGAAATTCTAGAGCTCTCTGTAGCATCTAGAATTCTAGAGCTATCTGTAGTCTTGTCTTATCTGATCTAGAAATACCAATCTCAAATGAAAGCGGAAGTCTAACTGCTGAAATTTCTACTGTGTGTCTCCCCAACTGTCTCTCTTACACTGGAGGAAAGCTCTGAAGTGAGGCAGTAACACTGAACTGAACCTCCTGTGTTCACAGTAACACTGAACCATCTGATTTCACCACAGCATAGAATTGTCCTGCATACAGCTTATAGGCAAGCAGTTATTGCCTGCTGGGATCCTTCACATGTGCAATCTGGCATATGTTTTCTATTGTGGGTCTGCTTGCAACTAGGTCTGTAACTTGAGCCACATTCATTACAGTTGCTTCATGAAAAAAAAGTATTTAGTTTGAATTTATAGGTATTTACCCCAGTTGCCTTTGTAAAAATCACAGTATTCTGGAAAATTCACTTAGAGGCAGCCCATTCCGGGAGGGGAGAGAGGTTTGAGTTACCTCCTGATTACCATGCTTTTCATTTGTTAAAAATCAACAATTCAATTAATTTGCTGCATTATGACTTAGATACAGCAAATCTCCTAATAGCCAGCAAAACGAGGACTGCAGAATCCCTGGTAAATTATTTTGAACATCAATGCAAATATACTGGACCAACAGTGCTCCAGAACAGCATTCCCTGGCCTTTTTTCAGAGCCTATGAAATGAGACTTAATCTAGGGCTTTTCCCTGAAATATTCCCGTGAAGATTCATCACCTACAAATTTCATAGAGCACATAAAACTGATTAAGAAAAACCTACTGTTTCTAGTCATTTTGGATCCTAATG